CCTTTGCCCACCTCCACCCAGCCCTTGGCCCACTTTCCTGTGGCCATCACCACACTGTTGTCTGTGTCTATGGGCTATGCATATATCTTCTTTAGCTAATCCCTTCACCTTTTTTCATCCATTCCCCGCCCTCCCCTCTGACAGCTGTCAGTGTGTTCCAAGTATCCATGCCTCTTCCTATTTTGTTTGTCAGTTTATTTTGTTAATTAGATTCCACATATAAGAAAAATCATATGGTATTTGTCTTTCTCTGACTGGCTTCACTTAGCATAATAATCCAGGTCCATCCATGCTGTCACAAAAGGTAAGAGCTCCTTCTTTTTTATAGCCACATAGTATTCCATGGTGTAAATGTACCATATTTACCTACTGATGGGTACTTGGGCTATTTCCAAATCTTAGCTATTGTAAATAGTGCTGCTATAAACACAAGGGTACATATATTCTTTCTGTTGGGTGTTTTGGGATTCTTAGGAAGTAATCTCAGAAGTGGGACCACTGGATCAAAAGGCAGTTCCATTTTTAATTTTTTGAGGAAATTCCATATTGCTTTCCACAGTAGCTGCACCAGTCTGCATTCCCACCAGCAGTGTACTAAGGTTCTTTTTTCTCCACATCCTCTCTTGTTTTTGATTTATTGATGGTACTTATTCTGACAGGTGTGAGGTGATACTTCATTGTGGTTTTAATTTGCATATCTCTCATGATTAGTGACATTAAGCATTTTATCATATGGCTATTGGCCATCTTTGTGTCCTCTTTAGAGAAATGTCTATTCAGGTGCTTGGTCCATTTTTTAATCTGATTATTTGTCTTCTTACTGTTGACTTGTATAAATTCTTTATATATTTTGGAAATTAACCCCTTATCAGATGTATCATTGGCAAACATATTCTCCCATGCAGTGGGTTCCCTTGTCATTTTGCTGATGGTTTCTTTTGCTGTGCAGAAACTTTTTTGTTTGATGTAGTCTTATTTGTTTATTTTTTCTTTGTTTCCCTTGCTCTAGAAGATATATGGGCAAAAATATTGCTATGAGAGATGTCTGAGATTTTACTGCCTATGTTTTCTTCTAGGATTTTTATGATTTTGTGACTTACATTTCAGTCTTATCCATTTTTATTTTATTCTTGTATATGGTGTAAGTTGATGGTATACCTTCCTTTTTTTTTTTTTTTTTTTTTTTTTTTGCATGTACCTATCCAGTTTTCCCAACACTATTTATTAAAGAGACTAAGAGACTGTCTTTACTCCGATGTATGCTCTTGTCTCCTTTGTCAAATACTAATTAACCATAAAGACGTGGATTTATTTCTGGGTTCTCTGTTCTGTTCCATTGATCTATATGCCTGTTCTTGTGCCAGTACCAGGATGTTTTGATTACAATGGCCTTGTAGTATATTTTGATATCAGGTATTGTGATATCTCCAACTTTGTTCTTCTTTCTCAAGATTGCTGAGGCTATTAAGGGTCTTGTTTGGTTCCACATAAATTTTTGGAGCATTTGTTCTAGAACTGTGAAATATGCCATTGGTATTTTAATAGAAATTGCATTGAATCTATAGATTGCTTTGAGTAGTATGGACATTTTAATGATGTTAATTCTTCTGATTCATGAACATGTATATCCTCCCATTTATTTATGACACTTTACTTCTTCCTTCCATTTTGGGTGCTTTTTATTTCTTCTTGTCTGATTGCTTATCTGACTTCCAGTACTATGTTGACATGCTTGAATTCTTAACCATTGCGCTTTTCATCTCTACTTGATCATCTCTAATGACATGAGTGCTTAGCAGCCTTTTCATGTTCAGAGAGCTTTAACTATCAAAGTGTGTTTTTGTGTGTATTTGGGGAGAGCAGGGAGACTAGTATCCAAGTCACTGTACATTTTGGTACCTCTAGGGATCCCAAAATTAAGACTTATATTTGCCTTCCTAGTCTCTTTGCCTAAAAATCTGAGACACAAGTATATCATTCTCTTGATTTAAAACATTCTGTATTTGCTTATTATCTGTAATAAAAAGCCTAAACTTCTTAATATGATATGCATGCCCTGTCCAAATCAGGCCTCATCTTGTTTTCAACCTCATAAATAGCCAGTGTACCCGCACATGCAATATATACTCCAGCCACACTGGTCTCTATTTCCCCCAAACACTCCTCAGTGCTTTTGTTTATGTCATTTCTTCTCTGCCTGGTGAAACCCTCACCATTCTTTAAGGTTCAGGTAAGATGCTACCATAAAGCCTTTCCTGACCCACCTATGCAGAGTGATTATTGTCTTTTTTATTAATATCTCTGTTGTAACATTAATACTTTTTGTTGTAGCTTCTTCACAACAAAAGAAACCATCAGCAAAATGACAGGGAACCCACCGTATGGGAGAATATATTTGCCAATGATACATCTGATAAGGGGTTAATTTCCAAAATATATAAAGAATTTACACTGGTTTGACATTTTAACTGCATGTCGGTATTAATTTCTCCTCTACCAGACAGGGTTAGGACCTTTGTCTTTTTTGTCATCCAGAAGAAAAGGCTTAACATTGAATCTCTGTTGAATGAATGAATGAATTGTGAATATATCAGTGAATAATTCAATCGAAGGTTTGAAGTATGAGTACTGAAACCTACATTTATGCAGAGCCCAATCTAAGGATATACTAGGTCTGTCTTGCAAGGTGAGTGGGAGAAAACAAAATATGACATTTTAGTTTAGTAGAGATTTGGAGTGATTAATAATTCATTCAACCCATGTTAAACTGAGCATTTGTCCTCAAGGAGTTTAAAATCTCTGACCAGGAAGAATGAACATCCTTATTCTCTTTAGCCCAGATAGGTTTTCTAACAGGGTAGCTGTGCTGTGTGGTTTTGGTCACTGATAATAAATCCAAGTTTCCCTTTCCTCCCAATAGCTCGGAAGCTGAAGAAACTGGGTAATCTGAAACTGCAGGAGGAAGGGGAGGCTTCCAGCACCACCAGCCCCACTGAGGAGCCAACCCAGAAGCTGGCGGTGTCACACATTGAAGGCTATGAGTGTCAGCCTATCTTTCTGAATGTCCTGGAAGCTATTGAGCCAGGCGTGGTGTGTGCTGGACATGACAACAATCAGCCTGACTCCTTCGCAGCTTTGCTCTCTAGCCTCAATGAACTGGGTGAAAGACAGCTTGTACATGTGGTCAAGTGGGCCAAGGCCTTGCCTGGTAAGAAAAAGGAAAGTAGAGGCATGGAATAAGGGAGATAATATTTAGTGAATGCACCTATGGGCAAGGCAGGTACCATGTCCTGTCCATTCCTGCCTATTAACTCATGCAATTTTCACCATTACCCTATGGGGATAGAGAATGGTATAATCCCCACTTTAAAAGTAAGGAAATTCTCCCTGGCTGGGTGGTTCAGTTGGTGGGAGCACTGTCCCATACACCAAAAGGTTGGGGTTTCTGTTACCCATCAGGGCACATACCCAGGTTGTGGTTTCAATCCTTGGACAGGACTTGTATGGGAGGCAATCAATTAATGTTTCTCTATCACATCAATGTTTCTCTAAAAATCAATAAAAATGTATCCTAGGGTGAGAATTAAAAAAAAAAAAAAAAAAAACACTCAGAAATCAAGGAATAGAGCAACATTATATAGTGTCCCATATATCTCACATCACACAGCAATCATATTTAATCCACAGACATAGTGTGAAAATTTCCCCAAAATCACAGATCATATAGATATAACCTTTATATGCTTTAAGATGCTCTTCTCCATATGCACACACATGCTCACCCCAAAGATAATTTTGAGCTTGATGGATTTTCTGTCTTCAATATTAACTTTAGGAGCCATACCATGAACTTATAATATAGTATCACAGAAAGAACATGGGGTTGGGAATCAGAACACTTAGGTTCTAGTCTTAGTTCTGCTTGTAAATCATTGTGTGGTCCTTTCCCTTTCTGGGTCTCAGTTTCTTTATCTGTATAATGTGTGAAGAGTGGTTTGGACTAAATTGATGTTTTTCAAATTTTGCTTTAAGGAACTTTAGTGCCCTTTAAAATATCTTAGGAATCATAGTGAGAAGAAATATTCAATGAATTCAGTGATAGTGAAAGAAATACAAAATTTTTGTCTAACTTCTGCTTGGATACCTCCAGTGATGGGGAATCACTTCCTCCCTAGGCCATCTGTTCTTTGAACAGAACTGTTTATTTAAACATTAGAGCTCAATGATCCTCTATCCAAGCATTCTCAAACTTTCCTTCAGCAGCCAAACATTTTATTTCTTAAAACATCATACACAGATACAAATGGAGCTGGTTGATTTAAAACCAGTGCCTTTCCCGCACTACCCCCAAAGAAGCCTCGAGTTACTCTTGCAGAATCTTAGGACTCCAGGGAACACAATTTGGAAACTAGTGAAACATAAGCTCTGTAAGGATTCTAATCCTAAAATTCTGTGATTCAAAGATTCTTTTGAAACAACCAATCCAATTCTTATGGAATCAAAGGTCAACATGTTTTCTAATAATAACTGCTATTCAGATGGAAATTTATAGAGAACAAAGCAGTTTCATATGTATTACCCGATTTGTTCCTCATAAAAATCCCATAAAGCAGGGATCCTCTCCCATTTTGTAGATAAAAGACACTGAAGCTCTGAGAAGTGATATGCTTGGCCTGCAAGCACACGGAATGTAAAAAGGCTAGAACTTGAGAGCTCAGGTCCACTCCTGATTCAAAATTCCTTCCTCATCCCACTCCACCCATAGTTTGTGTAATGCTCCTGTAGTTCTGTAGCCCTGGGCTTCATAGTGAGAGGCCAAGGCTTTATTCAAGGCCACTTGGGTCATAATGTAGACTAGCTGCCTTTGAAGACAATTCATGTTAGTCACCAAACACCTATTTTGTCTTTCCAACTCACAAGGCCCAGTTGCAGCCACCAGACCATCCCTAACACCTTCCCAGCTTGGGAAGCTGAGTTTGACTGGCCAATAAGATCACTGAGAAGAAAGTCCAAGAACTCCGGCTATGTATGCACTGTGACAAAACAGAGGGTTCACACAAGGAGGAAAAAATACAAAAAATAAAACAAAAGTTTTAATTCTTATCACTTATTCACCTGGATGTCTTGATGTCATTTGTGTAACAGAGGTTCAGTTTAATCTTTCCAAGCAGGTGCCAAACACCTAAATTGTCCCACTTTATCGGATACAGAACCTTGTCTTATATATGACTTCACTTAATCATCACAGCAATCTTATGAATCATAAGGACTATTATTTCCATTTCAAATGACAAGGCTCAGAGAGGTTAACTAACTTGTTCCATTTGGTTACTTAACAAATGGAACCAGAACTCGGGCTCACACTCTCTGATTTCTAATTTTGTGCTCTTAACAATAACCTTAGCCCAACCCTCAGGATGGGAAGACCTCTCATAACATTAACAAGTCTGCAAGACAATACCAGTTCACCATCTAGTTCATCCAAGTAAATAATTTCTAACACTAAGTCATTTAAAAGAATAGTTTCAAAAAATCCAATTACTATGTTCATAAGACCTGTTTTTATATTATCAATAATCACCTAGTAGTTCAGGTTATTTTCTCATTCAACAGATTGAGTTCCTGTCCTGTGCAAGGCACTATGCTAAGCACCTACTCAGGTAAATTTTTTTGTAAGCTTTCTGTGATGGTGATGATATATGTAAATTGCCTTCTAGAGTACCTAGTACATTAATAAATGATAACTATTCATTGAGGGTGGGTGAGTAGATAATATGTATACAGCATATTTACAATCAGGTGTATCTGGTTTGGAATCTTAGCTATACACTAGTTGTTTTACCTTGAGCAAATCACATGTCTACATGTGCTTCTGTTTCCTCATTTGTAGAAGTGGTACAACAATCTCTACCTTGCAAATTGTTATAAACATAGAAACTATGTATAAAGAGCACCTAGTACAGTAGCTGAAACATAATAGATGCTCAGTAAATGGTAGGTTATTACAGTGCAATTTGAGTGCTCTGCCACTGCTTTCACTAAAATCAATTTAAGTTGCCACCAGCCCTGCCTAGAAGTACATGCACGAGTCCCAAGGATGAACTGTCTTCTTTAAAGATGTTGGCTGTGGAATGCACTAGAGCAGCATAGATTTCCTAACTGGCCCTTCTTTGGGCATGTGCTCCCTGACAAGACATGAGACTACAAGTTTGCACTGCAGATTGTTAAGAAATGATGTTGATTGGATTCTAGAGAGAAAACAGTGTCTCAAATAAACTGGCATTGCTTCTAAACCTGTTCGGTGTGTTTCAAAACCTGAAAATGACTCCTCTCTTTTTCTCCAGAACAGCCTAACACAGTGCCAAATAGGTGATGAGTGAGTGTGTGCTGAAGGAAACCTGTAGGCTGGAGCTAGTGTTTCCTCAAGCCATCCCTTGATAGCTATGCTCTCTGAGCAGGCTACTTCAAAGGCTGGACATTAGAGAACAGTTAGGTATTGTAATAAAAATAGGCTTGAGTGCTAAGTTGCTCTCACTAGGGACCAGTAATTAGTGTTACAGCCAAACTAAGGTTTCTTTTTTTCTCTTCTTTGTTAGTTTTCTGGTATCTCAGGGATGGAAAAAAGCCCAGTATACACAACTCCCTTGGTACCTATACAGTTTAATTCTCATCTCCCCTATGCACCTTCACATTTACACACTCACCAGCCAAGGGTTTACTTGCTTCCCATTGCTTCCCACCCCAGAGATTCAGGGTTAAAGTTTCCAAGTCCCCTCCCCGAGAGATCTTTGGATGTTCTATGCTTGGCCCCTGCATTTTTTCTTCTACTGGGAAGAGTCAATACCAAGCATTCTCTTCTGGGGGTTTCAGTGAGGAAATACTCTGGGGTCTGTGGTTCCAGTTAGTCTTTCAGTGTATCACTGCAGTGAAGATGGGAGGCATAGGCCTTTGTAGCTAAGATTGCAGCCAAGGGTGGTGATATGAGGAACGTTAGAATCCCTGATATCTCATAGGCTTAAGACATGAAAGAAAAGAGAAATGGGGTGTGTGGGTGGGCAAGGGCCAACCAAGCAGAACAATGTGTTTAGATATTATAGACTTTAGGCCAGAGTCTATGGCTAAGAAAAGTTCATGACCTCAGTAGCTCTTGAGCTGTATCCTTAAGCAGGAGAGTAAAAAAAAACACTGGACAAGAGAATTAGAACACCTGAATACTAGTACCAGTTCTGCCACATATAGACTATGACCCTGGGGAAATCAGTTAACCTCTCTGGCCCTCAGGCTCCTTGTTGGCAAAATAAGTGTCATATCACCTACTCTCTGGGTTTCTTGTTAGGAACAAATGAGGTCATCAACAGGAAAGTTAGAAGCATTATCTAAACTCATGGAGCATTTCTAATGATGTATAGCAAGACAAAATTTCAGATAATTGTGGATCTGTTGGAAAGAAGATAAATGGGATGCTGCTAGGGGATGAACCCTGAGGAGATGGTTTAAGCATCCAGTTGTTTAGAAACCTCCATGATAACATAACCATATCTGTTCTATCTATGTGATATTGTAGAGGTAGCATCTGGGAAACTCTGTTCTCTGAGCTTAAGAGAGGTAATTTGGAGATCATCCCATTTTGTAAAATGGAAAGAAATTGAGGATCCTTAGTCCATTTAATTAATATTTCTCAAATGCCTACTTAAATATCTGAACTGTGCTATGTACTAGGGGAAAAAAAGGATGAATAAGAAGGGGCAGTCCCTGTCTTCAAGAAACTACAAGTCTTGTGGGGGAGACAGATGTGTATATAAATTCTAATACTGTGTAATGAGTGCTATAATTAGGTGAGGGTACACAAGTTTCAGTTAGAAGGTAAGTGAAGAATTATTAAGTCTTCTGCTTGGATTAGTTGGAAAAAACTTCACAGAGGAGGTACCCTTTCAGTGAAAACTTGAATGCTGAGTATGTGTTTATCAGATAGAATGCCTAGGGAAGGAGGAATGCATTCCAGGAAAAGGCAACTGCCTGTGCAGAGATATAGAAGCATGAGAAAGCATGTTGTGTTCAGCAAATTGTAAGTTTTTCAGAATATCTAGAACCTAGATTATGAGAAGGCAAATGGCAAGAAATTAGTCTAATCAGGCAGGTCATGAAGGGCTTATTTTTGTATAATAACAGTAGTAGGGCAAAAATAGCAGTAGAGTCAGGTATTTGTTGAACAAAAAAATAATGGAGAGAAAATGGAAGACAAAAAGAGAGTCAGAGAAAAGAGAGCTTGAAGGTGGTATGGAGAAGGTAGTGGCTGTCAAAAACATCAATCATATGTTGATATGTTGATACCCTATCCCCAGAGTTGTTAGAGGGACAAATAAGATTATAGCTAGCAAAAAGCTTTGTAAATTGAACAGTTCTATTCATGTGAGAGAAATGATTATTGCACTGTATCTCCAGAAAGGCATAGTGATCAAGAGCACAGGCTTTGGACCTTGATATGCCATTTACTAGCCTTATGATCTTGGACAAGTTCCTTAACCTTCAATACTTTTTTTGCCGTCATCATCTCATTTAAGTACCTCAGTGAAGTAGAGAAGGCAAGTAGTATGATCCCCACCATATAGCTTATTTTCCCCCTGCTCCCCAGCACTGATGGTTCCTGGGATTCTTCATGGTCTGCCTGAGTGCCAGAGATTCCCAGGACAACAGAGGCCCAGATTTCATCCAACCCATCATTGCCCAGTCTGACCATTGTCTCTTCTCCATTTCCAGGCTTCCGCAACTTGCATGTGGACGACCAGATGGCGGTAATTCAGTACTCCTGGATGGGGCTTATGGTGTTTGCCATGGGCTGGCGGTCATTCACCAATGTCAACTCCAGGATGCTCTACTTTGCCCCTGACTTGGTTTTCAATGAGTAAGTGCTAATAGGCCCAGAACTCACATAAATACAACATCCTGGCCATACCTGCTTGATGGTAATGATAGTAATAACAGTGGTGGTTAGCCCATTTAACCTATAGATGAGGCAGTAGAGACCTCAGCCGGCCTCCACAACCTGAGGTGGCTTTGCTTGACCTGAAGGCCAACTGGTAGGAGCCAGGGAGGTTAATGCTGAGGTCATCCCTTTCCTACCCAAGACCCAACCCTAGTATTTTGGCCATGTTTCTGACCTGCTTTGTAGCTTATCTCAAAACCTCATATCAAGGTGCCTTCCCTTCATGCTGAGCAGCATAGGGAATGGGCACAGAGACTCTAGCTGTGAAGGTTAAAGTTCCTTTGGTCCTTTTTGCTGCATCAAGGGCTACTGCCAGTCACCATTTGTTGAGCAACTCCTTTATACCAGGACTATAGTAGATACCTTCTAAATCCTTTCTCATTGAGTCCTCATTTCCTCTTTTTATAGATAATTTTTTAATGAATGAAAATAAATGAGGCTCAACAATGTAAAGTGACTCACCCAAGGTCACAGATTTCAAAGTACATGTTGGCAACAGATTTCAAAGTATGTGTGTGTAACTCCCAGCTCTTATACTGCCTCATGGTGGTTAGTGATGGGGAAAAGCAGCTCCACCACTCTCTTGTGAGTTTGGCCAAACCACCTTTCTTCTCTTAAAAACAGGTTTAATTAATGCTTGCCCTGCCACCAGTTCTACTTATCCTTTATTGAATTTGTCCAAGGGCTCAGATTTTGAAATTACACCTTTCTTGAGTAAAATCTGTTCTTTCTTACATTATTGACTTTGTGCAGGACCTTTAACTTCCTTGACCCTCAGTTTCCTCATCTGTTAATAATATAGAATTTTTTCAAATGGTTTCTTATGAGGACTAAAATGGGAGGTAATGGGTATGAAATACCTGGCCTATAATAGACAATAAATAAAAAAAGAAGAACCTTTCTGATACTCTTTCCCTAATAGTGATTATTTTTCTCCACTTCTACTGTTTGGGGTCCCTTGATGGCATTGTGAATGGAGTTGGTCAGAAAAATATTCTCAACGACCTTGAACTAGTCTCACCACAGAGAATCCCTTTGGTCGGGGCAAGAATTGACCTTCCTTCCTCTCCAGCCTTCTAACCAAGAAGAGCCTTAAAATAAATTTTACAGGCCAGTAGTTCCCTCTAGTACAGCAGTGCCATGTGGAGGAAAATAAGCATACTTGGCTGCCCTTTTTCAAGCCAGCCAGCCCTGATAGCCAGAAGCTAAGAATAACCATTGGGCTTTTGGCACGACCTGCTTTGTGGTTTCCAGATCTCCAAAGAGTTATCCATGATGCCATCTTCCGGGTCAGGATTTAAAAAGCCTCCATCATGTTAATCTCTCACACCCGTCCTCTTGCTGCCCTCCAGTGATTGAATCAATTCCCTGGGCACCTGCAACGCCCTCCCCATTCAGAGGCTTAAGACATTTGCAAAGTGATAATTGGCTATTTTCTAAATCTTAATTCTTTCTCTGCCTCTGCATAAGTATGTGGTATTCCACCTCAGCTTTCTGGTATATTCTCATATATTTCATCAAAAGGTACCACAAGGCTACCCACATGATCCTATATCCATGAAGCCCCAGAGCTCCTGAAACAATAGGTGCCCCCCACCCCCTTCTCATAAGTACCCATTATGTTAGAGCTCTTGAGATTCCTAGAAACACCTAAACCAATGTTTCTCAACAGGGCTGCTGTTGACATTTTCAGAGGAATACTTTTTCATTGCATAGGAAGTTCGCACACATTGGAATATGTTTAACATTCTTGGTACCTGCCTACTAAATACCAAATAAAATTCCAGTCACTGTGACAGCCTAAACTGCCCTTAACACATTTTTAGCACCCACTAGGGAGACAGTACCTCTCTAGCTGAAAACCACTAATTGCTGTTAGCTTCATTAAGGGGCTTATTAATGGGGAGACTGAGGCCCAAAGAGAGAGACAGGGACTCTGAGCCAACCCATATGCTGATCTCTGAAACCAAACCTTATCATCAGCCCTGCATTCTTCTTTCTTCCTGCCCTCTTTGTGGGAAACACACGTGAGAGTCATGAGCTTGAACCCTAGCTGTATAACCTTGGGTAAATTACGTAAATTTCTTGAGTCTCATTCTTCTCATCTGCTGAATGGTGAATAGTACGGTAATGGCACCTTCTTATATATCATTTATTGAGCACTTAGTATGTGCCAGGCACTGTGCTCAGTGTTCTCCAATTTTCATTTCCCCTCTTATCTACTCTCCTTTACTCCCACCTACCACTGCTCTCTTCCTGAATTCCATTCTTGCCCCCGTGTTTTCTACTTTCTACTCTCTAATCCTTTTCCTTCCTTTTAACTCTCTCCTTGTTCTTTTTGCCTTTTCTCCCCCTTTCTTGTTCCTTTCTCCTCTGAATTTATTTTGTTGCCTTTCTCCCTTTTCTTGCCATCTTTCTCTAATTTCTCTGTCCCTTGGGCTTGCAGTAGTGTTACAGCAGTGCCCCATGCAAAGAGCATTGGTAGGTAAAAAGACTGCAGTGTTGTCATCAACAGAGGCTCAGAAGTACAATAAAGACAAAAACAGATCCAGGCCCCAGGGTCAGCAGATGTTAGTCAAAAATTGTCTACAGTGAAAAAGCCTGAAACAACAATGTTCTGGTCAATTGACTTGTGATACTACCTAAATAATTCCTCTTTCCAGTAGAGCTCCAGTCTGAATTGAATATTTCTATACTGTCTGCCTCCTTCCCTCTTTCTTCAGGCAGGCCAAGATTTCTCTGAGATAGAATGTTGAGCTTCCATCCACTCCCCTAGTGGTTTGGAAACCAAAATGTTAAACCACAGCCTTCAGGCTTAATCTGGGAGGTCTTTTTCCTCACCACTTAATGGGTGTCAAATTCCCTTTTCTTTTTCCACAAATAATATCATTTCTCTCTCTCTCTCTCTCTCTCTCTCTCTCTCTCTCTCTCTCTCTCTCTCACACACACACACACACACACACACACACACACACACATTCTGGAGTGCTGAAAACCAAGAGGCCTACTAGCAGGAGGATGCTGTATTTTCTCTTAGAGGCTTGACATAGACATCAGGGAACAGAGAGTTTGCTCCCTATGAGAAGCTGTCCAAGGCTTCACCACTTCCCTATATAATTTATAGGTGATAATGTGATGATCTGTTCATAAGTCACTATAATGAAAACAGCTCACACTGTTTATAATTCCCAAAGTGTGGTAAGGAACAGCCGATATATGAGGGAGTAGGCTCCCCTTCAACAGGGGACATTTACCTTGGACATTCAGAAATACTTCCTAGATGATTTGGTAAACATTGGATCTCATTTTAAAGGGAAAATGGGTAATCTTCTTTCCTAAGAGTGTCTAAAGAAATATTTAAATTTTTAGTATGGGAAATCGCATTCGAGTCAAAAGGAAGGGAAATTGACAAGATGAATTACTACTGTAGTCACTTGGGAATCCTGGTGTCCTTACATTAAGAGTTGATTTCTAAGGCCTGTCTCCTAGAAATCCTCCAAGTTGGGATGCCTGGAAGACATGTTCTGGCTCTGGCTGTAGCTAGGTTATTAGAAATGTAGTCAGGGAGACCATTTGTTCATTTGGTTAGACTTGCCTGTTCCTGTCTCAGGAAACACGAGGGGCACAGGGACCTGGAAATCCCATGTGTTAACCCATATCATGACCAGGAGAGATGAGTAGTTATCAGGATGTCAGGATTTGGGGGGAAAATAACAACCTTGTTTCTCTTCACTGAAGTACTAGAAAGAAAAACACCAAGCTCTTCTTGGAGAACCTGGTGAGGGGAGAGCAACCAGAGACATTCTCTTGGGCTTATTGTAAGCCTTGCCTCATTTCTTTCCTTCCTCTGTCTCTTTCTCAGGTACCGCATGCACAAGTCCCGGATGTACAGCCAGTGTGTCCGAATGAGGCACCTCTCTCAAGAATTTGGATGGCTCCAAATCACCCCCCAGGAATTCCTGTGCATGAAGGCACTGCTGCTCTTCAGCATTAGTAAGTGCCTGGAGGGATAAGGAATGTCCCTGGGGGCCTAGGTGCTCAAAGAAGAACTGATTTTTTCATTAAAGAGTTATCAGCTCCTGGACTTTTCCCTTTCTTTTTCACCCTTCCTGCTCCACTCTCCCTTAGCATCATTTTACTTAACAAGGATAAATTACTTAGCTAGAGACCAATTTCATTGCTAAAATTCATCCTCCATTAGATTTCCACCTACCCTGAAGCTCTCTGGCTGATTGTAGCAGACCTCTGAAGTTTTCCATACCTCTACCATAGAAACAGGCAAGGACCACCTCATATTTCTTGTAAGGCAGAAGGGATTGCCTCCTGGAAGGAACTTCTTTTTCTACTAACAGGAGAAGGTCTATGTAAAAAACTCAGACGGGGTTTATTTGGCAGCCAATGAATGTTTCTTTAATGTCTCTTCTAAGCAGAGTGCTTTCTCAGTTGAAAAACAAGTCAAAATTTGATATTCAAAGTTATGTATTTTGTCTAAATCAGAGCTGCTCTGTGGACAACATAAAACCATAGGTACTAAGAAATGTGTAGATGAAAAAACTAAAAAAAAAGGAAAGGCTCAAGAAATTGTATTTACTTGATGCCCTTCAAGTTGGGTCTAGCTAGCCTTTTCCCTAAGAACTTTTTAGCAGGCTGAAGGCCCTAGACATACAGACTTCAACTACAGGAAACCAAGTAGATGGTTCCCTCTTTGTGGGGGTGGGGGTCAAGTCTGTGGTCAAAAAACTTGGTGCTTTGTCTAATGCTCCTTTGTGGGCATGCTTCCCCTCCCCATTCTGTCTTCATCCCACATCAGTTCCAGTGGATGGGCTGAAAAATCAAAAATTCTTTGATGAACTTCGAATGAACTACATCAAGGAACTTGATCGTATCATTGCATGCAAGAGAAAAAATCCCACATCCTGCTCAAGGCGCTTCTACCAGCTCACCAAGCTCCTGGACTCTGTGCAGCCTGTAAGCAAATGACGGAGGGTGCTTTGTCAGGGAGAACTGCCTGATAGAGCCAAATGATAATATGTGCTTCTAGGGTCTGGCACCACCTGTTGGGAGGTGCTTCCATTCCCCTGTTGCTTTGAGTGTGGTCCAGGAAGAAAATGCAATGGAGAAGAAATGAACACAGGTCACAGTATCCCAGCTGGATGTTGTGAAAGAGGTGGAGGAGTTGAGAACAGAGCAGTTGAGACTCAGGGAATGGCTTAGAGCAGATAAGTTCTCTAGGCAGACAAAACAGACCTGGATGCTTTCCCCTCTCCTTTGAGTCATGTGTGTGAGTTTTTGTGCATGCAGTTTGTGTTTGTGAGTGTGTGTGTGTGTGTGTGTGTGTGTGTGAGAGAGAGAGAGAGAGAGAGAGAAAGAGAGAGAGAGAGAGAGAGAGAAAGAGAGAGAGAGAGAAAGAGAGAGAGAGAGAGAAACAAGCAGGAGCCCTGGGGAAGAGGAATACCCAGTCCTGAGTCAGAGAGTTTACAATGGTGTAAGAGAGCTCTTGGGAGCCCTTAGTGACTCCCTGGAGATCATTTAGTGCATGAGTGTGCACGCACACACACACACACACACACACACACACAAGACCAAGGACAGGGAAGGAGAAAATCAAAGGTGGGAGTAAGAGCCTGATAGAAGCCAACTCTTTGTCAACCTTGTTTTCTTGTTTCCTCCCTCTCTTATTGTCTCCCCTACAGATTGCACGAGAGCTGCACCAGTTCACTTTTGACCTGCTAATCAAGTCGCACATGGTGAGCGTGGACTTTCCAGAAATGATGGCAGAGATCATCTCTGTGCAAGTGCCCAAGATCCTTTCTGGAAAAGTCAAGCCCATCTATTTCCACACTCAATGAAGCTTTGGAAGTCCTTATTTCCTCACCCCACCACACTCTCCTTTTCAGATATCTTCTGCCTGTTATAACTCTGCACTACTTCTCTGCCGTGCCTTGGGAAACTCCCTCTATTGATGTATAGTCATAAATATGTTCCTGAGTCCTATATGCTAGGCTTTTTTTTCTATTTTCCTTCTTTCTTTCCCCCTCTCCCTATCCAACCCTCCCATGGCACTTTCAGACTCTGCTCCCTGACATGACTTTTATCTGTGTTTTGAGTGGTGTTGTATTTCTTTAAATCTGTGATGATCCTCATGTGGACCAGTGTCAAGTTGTGCTTGTTTATAGCACTGTGTTGTGTGCCAGCCACACAAACATTTACTCACCTAATGCCATGGGAAGTTTAGAGAGCTAAGAGTATCTGGGAAAACCAAAAGTAAAACAAACAAACAAACAAAAACAAAAAAAACTTGCTAGAGTATTGTTTCTTTTAAAAATATAAAAACAAACAAATCCCCAAAGAAGCTAACAGTGACTAGAATAAGGTGAACATTGTAAGACCATGGGAAGTCACTGCTATTTTCCCAAACCCTCCCTCCCAGACTTTATTTTCTGCCAATAGCTTTTGCCATTAGAGGGCCAGATGGCCCCAGAGCTGAGATGGTGGGGAGGGGAGAGACAGATTTAAGACAGGACAAAGAGGACAGCTAAATCACCAGTACCTGCTCACAGTCTTGGGCCCTGAGATCTAGACTGCTCAACTTCAGTGCAATTCATTGTACCAAAAATGTGCTTCTTGTTTGAAAACTTGTCTGCATGTGAATACCTCCCCCATCCCAATCTCTTTTTCTCTCACCCCCTGCCTCCACGCTCAAATTGACTTTCAACAGTTTTTCTAAGAACTTTGAACAAATATTCTCTTTAGCCCAAATTTTGCCACTTCCACTGAAGAGTCAGACCAGCAAGAAAAAGAGCAGAGATCTGACTTTTTTGGAAGGCTGCATTTGGATCCAGGTCTGCTTTCCCATTTATGGGCCAAGGAGAAACTTGGGGCTGGAATTAGAGGAAAAGGAAGTGGTGGCTTGACTCTTCTCCACTTAGGACACTGAAGAATTGATCCCTCTTTGCCCCCACCTTTAAAAAACCTGAATGCTTTCAGCCTGACCCCATGCAGCTGCAGGGTCCTTCCACCTTCCTTCAGTGTTTTGTGGGTCTGAACTTCACCAGCCACAGTGGTGAAGCTTGTCCACTTCTCTAGACATGTTCACAGACTCTCTGCTAAGAGCCCCCACCATGAAGAAGGCTAGCAAGCCAGCAGATTTAACATATATTTCAGATGTCAGTAGACTAAAAGACTTCTTACTAAGTGTCTCTCATCAACTATCATATCTTCTTTGGAGCCCTTAGACAAACTGGAAAGAAGGCATCAACAGGATTGGACAAGCTGGGTGACTTGCCCTTATCCCCCAGAGATGGTACCTTCCCACCAAGTGGAGAAATGCCCACTTTCTCCTTCAGAGCAGCTAAAGGGGCTACCCATATTAAGGTTAAAGAGAAAATTCAGTTACCAGGCTGGAATAAATGAGGTACTAAAACCAGAAACCCTATAAGTGCTCTGCTTGCCACCCAGCATATTCACTTGCAGAAGTCATGGGAAGAAGAGAAAAGAAACCAAGAGGAAAGCTGAAACATTGAGACTACAGAACCATGGTCTCCTTTGGAAAGGTCTGGTTGGTGTGGCTCCAATGGGCTGCCACCCATGAACTCAGGGTGTGTTCCTGGAACACTGGTTTCATATAGTTCATTGGCACACTTCTGTTCTGTTGACTTTGTCCCCAAATCCCAAGTGCAGAGGGAATGTCCACTTACTTTCTCATCTTGGCCACTGCCGCCTCACTTAGCTCTTAAATTCAAGAAATTAGAAGCCAGTCAACAAAATGCCCATTTCACTTGGTTCACTTTATTTGTTGAGAAGAGAGTTTCTGAGTGATATGATATGATCTACATGGGTTTCCTCCCCTGATTTCTGTGTTGATATTAATAGCCAAAAGAACTTGCAAAACAGTTTCTTTAAATAACAACGGAGAGGGGAATGTAAGATGGGTGATATACCAATTCAAGACTGCTGGATAAAATGAAAACTGACAGGTTCTCTCTCTTTCTGGGGTAAGATAGACAAATTCTGATTTTCTTTCTTACGACACCATTTGGCTTATATGAGCTCACAGGATCACTTTTAGCTATTTTAAACAGAAAAAAATACAACATTCTTTTCAGTTAAACTGGGTTACATTTTAATAATTTATTTACATCTGTTTTGAAATGATCATCATTTGTGGTACATGGACTTGATGATATCATTCTAATACCTCCTCTTGTAAAGAATAGAGTCTCTCCTTTCCATTTTTCTATCTAATTGTCCTTATGAATATATATGTTTTTCACTTGTAAAAGCCTAAAATCAGTGTAATTAAAAGCAGCAACAACTGGATTACTCAAAATTTCTGAATGACAGGACTAGGGAAAACCAGCTTAAACAAGATTTTAGGCCTACTGTTTTTGCAATGGGGATTCTATGAGAAAAAATATTTTAGCTTGACTTTGTTCTCCCACAGATGAAAGGGGGATTTGTGTTTTCTTTTGGCCATTGATGTTCCAGCCAATGTAATTGACAGAAGTCTCATTTTGCATGCACTCTACAAACAGCGTTGATGTGGTTGGTACACTGTACTCACCGGTGAAGGATTGTCCACCCAAACCCACTCACCTGGTGAACTGGAAGATGAAGATCACTCACCAGACAAGTCATGCAGGCTATCTCCAAAGAAGTTTTCAGTGTTCAGTAGAGATGGAGAATGAGGAAAAGAAAAGAAAAAAGAGCACCAGAGAGAAGGCCCTGTCTGTGGACAGCAGGCAGCTGATAGGGTCACAAATTCTGTGGTCAAAGAAAAGAGTCATGTGGCAGTTTCAATTCTTGTTTATTGGGCAGTTCACCCAGGCCTAGCATATGAACTGAAATGGGGATTGGATTCTTTGTTCCATAGATTTTCTATGCCACAGACAGTGTCATTGTTCTTGGAGAGCTCGTTTTTGTTTTGTTTTGTTTTGTTCTGTTTTGTTTTGTTTTGTTTTTAATGAGAAATGGATTTTTTTTTTGAAGGATTCTGTCATATCTTTGAAAAAGAAAATCAGTAATACCTATATTTTTATATATGTTCACTAGCACTAAAAAACAAACAAACAAAACAAAAACAGTTTCACTCCATCCCTCTGTCCTTTGGGTAGTTACTGAGGGTTGAGAAATAATGTGGTGATGCTAAAGTCCCCTCTGTCCATACTTTATTTCTAAATGTACATATACATATATGGCAAGAATAATTCTGTTTGTACTTTAAGAGAAAGTAGTCCTACCATCCACATGATACTACCATTACACAAATGACCTAACTTTGAGCTTCAAGTAGCTTCTGTTTGTTTCATTAGGCACAGCAGAGACATGGCCTTGACCTCTTTTCTCCCTTGATATTTGGCTCAAGCCACTCCCTTTACCCCTTTCCAACCTTGTGCCAGGGTTGTGCTTTATAAGATTGTCTCCAGACAACTCAGTAACTATTCCTGCATGTTCCCTGCATGGCCCTGAGAAAACAAGTGGCTGACTAATTATCCTGTGCCAGTTGCCCAAATGAAAGGTCACTGAGCCAAGGGAGTGGCCTTCATGCTCAACCCCTTATAGGGAGTCATGGGAATCAGGAATGTTAAAGCACAGGATCAAATCCCAAAGTTAAAGTCAAAATAAGCCATTTTGAATGTGCAATTTCTTGTAAAAGGAAGTTTTTACCCCTGCTGTCTTTTATAGGCAGTGCTGTTCTCATCACTAATCTCTTTGAGAATCTTTGAAAGATGTTTTAAAAAAGACAAAGTGATGAGAGCATCAAATTATGTAACCAAAGATTACACTGTATCTGCTAAGATACCAAAATTTTTGAGGGCAGGAATGGAGTGAACATTAGTGCCTCTTTGGTAAGCTATCCAAAGACAGACTAAAGGACTTTGCTGGTGACTGACTTATAAGAGTTCTGTGGGTTCCCCCACACACAATATACATGGTAAGAAGAGTAGAAGATAATTTCAAAAAAATGGGATTATGGGTCCTTTACTAAGAAATATTATAAGCAGAACTAGCTTTCTTTTTCTCCAGTAGTTGTTCAGCAACTTTTTAAAGCTCCATCGTTGCATGGTTGGAAATGGAGCTTTCTTGGCCACTGTGTTTGCTTGTGCCTATGTTAGTTTATCTGAAGATGTGAATCCCTTGCTGAGAAAGGGAGCATTTAAAGGACTAGATTTTGCACTACAGGGACAGCAGGCAGAAATCCTCATTTCTGCCCACTTTGGAAGACACAAAACCTTCTCTGCAGTTTAAGGCAGAAGATTGAAATATATTGTACATGAGTATTTGTATCCATGTTTCAAAATTGAATTATATACATATATATAAATGATAGATGATAGATGATACATAAGTAGACATATGATAGACATAGATAGATATAGATATATAGTTATAGATGATATAGATATAGATATATAGATATACCTATAGATATAGATTATATAGATATAGATATATAGATATAATATGTTCTGATAGCTTTACCTTTTTCTGCACCTTTATATTTGGCTCCAGGTCACAATTGATATTATGTACTTGTGATAGAGACTGCAGTTCCATTTTGGAAGCTCTCTCAAAAGACACCTGGGTTGATCAAATAACTAAGAGATCTCTGCCCCTATTGGGGCCTGATCCACAGGCCTTGCAAAGGAGCAGAGGGGGGGAAATTGTAGGGTACATGATGTATTGCACTTTACTCTCCCAAACTGATGAATGTTTAAAGGGTGGTGAAAACTCATTGGGAATGACTGGGGTTTACTATAGGGAAGGCCCAAACTTGGGGCCAAACACCCACCAAAATGATTAGCCAGTGGCCCCCTAATGGGACCTGAGCAGTTGGAATAAGGTAGGACATTCTTTGTTTTTCATCATCCTTGTGAAAAAAGGACAGTTTACTGCACTTGGGAACCTGGAGCAAGTGCTATATCTTTCACATAATTTACTCACCTGTAATCGAGGTGCTCTTGCTACTGGGTGTCTGTGTGCTTTAATTATGGTTTGGGATATGTTCTGTAAAGATTTTGACAATGAAAATGTATTTTTCCCTGTTATAAATTTGTCAATGTACTAGAATATCTCTGTAGGTACAGGTCTGTCTCTGTTCACAGGTAGGGGTGGTTTTCTTCAATTAAGAGATTGACACTGG